TGTATAATATATATATATAAACACACGCACATACACACACACACACACGCGCGCGCGCACGCACATGTATATATAAATATATATATATATATATATATTTATATATATCCATAATATATATATATATACATATATATATATATTATATATATATCAAATATATGCACCTATATCCTCATATGTCTTCCTGTATACGTATGAAAGTGTATAATCTCTTCCTACTAACACATCTCTCCTCTGTAGATGGTGTCTGAGAAGATGGCTGATCTCAATGTGCTTGATCAGAACAATGGATTATATTACCAGAACGAGTACTTTCTGGTGGTGCTGTATGACTCATGGGCAGTTTTCCAACGAGGTGTGTACATGTGTACACTTGATGACAGGTAACACTATACGTTATTGTAAGTATAGGTAGTATTATTCCGTACATATGTTGGTGTGTGTGTTTCATATGCTGACTTCCTTTCAGCGCGTCTCATCGGGTTGTATTCATTCGCCATTGCCGTAAAAACGCTTTCGCCCTTTCGCCCGTCTGTGTGTGTGTGCTTGGTTTCATCCGACAGATCGCTGAACTGTTAGAGCATCACATGTCATTTATATGTTTTGTGGGAGATGGTCACATAGTCACATGTATGGTTGTATCTTGAAGTCATAGTCACGTATGGTTTTATCTAGAAGCTCGGTACACCCCCATGATGATCCATTGAAAGCAACGAACAATACCTGTCACACATACATGGGGTTGCCATAGCAACAGAGACAGTCATCATACCTACTTCCTTGCTAACTGATCTATCCATTACCTACCTTAACCCATCCTGATACACACCCACAGTGAAGCAGAAACAGTACCGTGTACTGTACAAGTCCCCGTTCTATGGCGATGCCGACGATCAGATGTTCCGCATTGTGGCCGAGTGCACGTCACTTGAAGAAGCGACCAAGGTAAGCTGCACACTGTGTCTCTGCTGTTGGTTGGACGGACTCTCTACATGTCTTGTGTATATACTATGCTTGTATTCATGTCTTGTGTATATGTTATAATTGTATTCATGTCTTGTGTGTATGTTATGATTGCATTCATGTCTTGTGTACATGTTATGCTTGTATTCATGTGTAGTGTGCATGTTATGCTTGTATTCACTTGTGGTATGCATGTTATGATTGTATTCATGTGGTGTGCATATGTTATGCTTGTATTCATGTGTTGTGCATATGTTATGCTTGTATTCATGTGTTGTGTGTATGAGTGGTTGGTTTATTTGCCTACTGCATTTGTGCATACCTCCGTTGTTAATCGTGGCTTCCATTTTGAGACAAACTACACACTTTAAAATTGCGTCTTGGAGAGTTTTGTTTGATCGTCTACTGCGATTGACCGTAAACTTTAAACCGGTTGTTCACCTCACACAATTACACGCGCGCAATCACACATACACAATCACACACACGCCCACGTCTCATACATCAATACACGTGCACATATCACACACACGCCCACGTCACATATATTAATACACATGCACATATCACACACACGCCCACGTCACATACACCAATACACATGCACATCTCATACACACGCCCACGTCACGTACATTAATACACATGCACATATCACACACATCACGTATATTAATACACATGCACATATCACACACACGCCCACGTCACATACATTAATACACATGCACATATCACACATACACCCACGTCACATACATTAATACGCATGCACATATCACACACACGCCCACGTCACGTACATAAATACACATGCACATATCACCCACACGCCCACGTCTCATACATTAATACACATGCACATATCACACACACGCCCACGTATCTCGCATATATTGATGTACATATACCACACATTTGTGCACACGCTCACACATCACTCACTTGTACACGCGCACACGTCTCACATGTTACCCGCACATTGCTTCGCAGGACTTTGAGGAGTTGAGCACCAAGCTAATCCCCATTCTCAGAGAAGACCCCACGCGCGGACGATTCATCACTCAGCTGGTGGCTTCCATTCTCAAGCCAGAGAAGGCGGCTCAACTCAGACAGGTCAGGCCATGCACACATGCGCACATGCACACATTGGGAAATATAGGCATGCATACATGCGCTAAGCTTATATGCAAAACACAGCACATCACTTGTATGTAAAACACAATACATACCTGATATGTAAAACACAACCCATACGCCTATGCCTTCAAACCTAGCCTTGTTAACAGTGGAGTAGGCCCGTGTGATTCAGACGGAACGTTTAATACAGGTGTGTTCATCAGAGACCCATTTATTGACCCTCTCAGAACACGATGGAGGCCAAAACCCTGGGACCGTACTTTGTCAAGAAGGTGCTGGGTATGGGATCGTTCGGTAAAGTGAAGTTGGGCATCCACCGCCAGACCAAGGAAGAGGTGGCCATCAAAATGGTCAGCCATGACAGCGTGGAGCACGTGGAAACCAATAACAAGGTAAGGGGAGGGGATGGGTTAAAACGGACCAATCAGTAGGCGAAGGTTAAAGCGGACCATAGTCCAGAACTGTACCACTCGCGAGGTGTTTCTGATAAAACATACCGTGTATGTGCGACCAATGAGATTGTCTCTGTGTGTCATTGTGAAGGCTGCATTATACTACTCGCCAGAGTGGGGTTGTTGTTGTAAGTTAACGTAACTTGCTTGCTTGTACTTCCTTACACTTGTGTGTCTGGTATGGCATCCCTATTGTAAGGATTCACTCTTTAATTGTCCACTACCGCAATTTGGTTACTAAACGCACTGCACGATCCATGCTGCATTGTAATTAACAAAAATTGTTACTGTTTAAAAAGCCTATATACGTTATCTCTATTCCTCTGTATTTGTCCACTGCAGGAGATTGCAATCTTGCAATCGCTGCACCACCCCTTCGTCATCGGAGTGAAGGAGGTCATTCAGACGCGCAAGTACATGTGCATTATTCTCGAGTTTGCCAAAAACGGAGATTTGCTGGAATATCTTAACAGTTTCTGGGACAGATGTCTCACTGAGGTCGAGGTATGAATGTACTCGTATACAGCACATCAAGCACACGCGCATATATATATATATATATATACATATATATATATATATACTCGCCATTCCATACCACGTGATAGGCGTGTAGGGCACTCACAGACACGTCCACACATTTGCGTCTGCGGTGACTCTATTTTCATCCTGTGGAAGAAAGTGATACCGTTGTGCTTTAGATTTAGAAACACATTCATGACACAGTTGTCACATACACTTAGGGTTTAGGGTTTAACTTATGAATGAGTCCGATCGGTATCCCAATTATGTGGGTGTCAGGGAGTCTAAACCCTAAATGTCCGTAGATGTGTACGCCCAGCCATACATATTACCTTCACAATCACACGTAACCATGGTAACACGCACTACAGGCACAGCGGGTGTTCTTTCAGATATCGTCGGGTGTGTCTTACCTACACGACCACAAGATTTACCACTCACAATCACACGTAACCATGGTGACACGCACTACATGCACAGCCACAGCCATACATCATCCAGTCACAATCACACGTAACCATGGTGACACGCACTACAGGCACAGCGGGTGTTCTTTCAGATATCGTCGGGTGTGTCTTACCTACACGACCACAAGATCATCCATCGCGACCTCAAACCAAACAACGTGCTCATGGACGGCAACAACAACTGCAAGCTCTCAGACTTTGGCCTCTCTAAGAAGCTCAATGAGGTGTGTGGGTGCGCCATTGTGGTGTGCGGGTGTGTCATGGCAGAGCCAGTGTTACCATTCGTGTACGGAACACGAACATCCATCCCCGTCTTCTTATCGCGTCGCCACTTGCTTATCTTTCCCATTGCTGATGTCCTATTGGTCCGCTTCATTATATTGCTGTATTCGGATTGGCTACGGGCACTGCACCTTCCATTACTGATATCTCACCAGCCTACTTCACATCATATCTGTGTTGTGATTGGCTGCTGGCTCGCTCCTTCACATCCCCAACACCTAACTGGTCCCCTCCATCCCATTCCTGTGTTATGATTGGCTGCTGACCCTCTTCCCCCTTTGCTCCGTTTCTATTGGGTTTGCGGTTGGTACAGACGGATATACTGACCACAGCGTGTGGCTCGCCCATCTATGCAGCTCCTGAGTTGCTGACGCGACAGTACTTTGGCCGTCGAGTGGATGTGTGGTCTCTGGGAGTCATTCTCTTTAACATAGGCACAGGTGTGTGTATTGAGAGTGTGTGTAATTAAAGGTGTGTGTGTAGTTGAGAGTATGTAGTTGAATGTGTGTGTAGTGAAGTGTTTGTGTAGTTGAGTGTGTGTGTACATTTCGTTATTCCTTTTAATATACGTTCGCCATTCATCACTATATCCGCGTACTTATTCCGTCATGTCTGTTCCTTATTCCGTCATGTCTTTTCCTTATTCCCTCATGTCTTGTCCGTATTCGGTCATGTCTTTTCATTATTCACTCATATCTTGTCCTTATTCCCTCATACACCTGCGCCATTCCCCACCCATGGTGTCTCCATGCCCTGTGAGTGACTCATGGTGTTCCCCTTCTTTCCTCTGAAGGTAAAATGCCCTTTGGAGTGGATGCGTCGTTTAGCATTCCAATGATTTACGAACACATAAATCGCGCGCGCAGTTTCGGCATCCCTGCGTCGTGCAAGGTCAGTCATTGGGTCTTCTGTGGTGACATTGTACCTGTGATGTAACCTGTTGCATGTACGCAAAGCATGTGAACGTATAAACGGAGGGCTGCGGTAATAGTGTGCATGTGAACTTATAAACGTAAGGCTGTGGTAATAGTGTGCATGTGAACTTATAAACGTAAGGCTGTGGTAATAGTGTGCATGTGAACGTATAAACGTAAGGCTGTAATATTAGTGTGCATGTGAACTTATAAACGTAACGCTGTAGTACCAGTGTGCATGTGGTAT